ATAGTACTGTCATGTTTTATAAAAATATATACAGATATCTCCAAACAGGTGGAACAATCCCTAACATTAAAGTTACTAGAATCTGGTAACATCCGCCATTTTTGGGCAAAAATCATGCGTTCTCTCTCTAACACACGAGTCCAATGGATTGCGGTACTTTCTATATTTAGTGACTTTAAAATTATGGAATTTTTTGTTTATGGGATTGTCTCTCAAAGCAGTCTTTGATGTAAAATTTGTTTAATACTGCAAAATGTTTAAATTGTATTTAAGCTGGACAAGAGGAAGTGAATTGTGGAGATGTAAAATTTTACTTTGGTAGAGATAAAAGAATAGAGTGGGACAGAAAAAATAGTTAAATCTTTCTTCTTTTTTAAATGTTATCGAATCCTATACCTACAATAACACTAGAGGCGCTGGTGTAATTTCCAAATGGCGAGTTATAGGTGGGAGTGGTTTGTAAGCATATGGTTGTACTAATTTAAATTTGAACGTGAATTAAACTTACCATGCCGTTTTTGAGACTTGAAAATATAACTCCCTAATCCTATCTTAAAAGGTCTTTTTCTTAGGAACTTGAGGCTGTCTTGAAGTAGCTTGAACATGTAATTAACTTAAATGATCTAATTTTGAATAAAGATCATAATGTGGCATATTACACTGATCACGAATCAAACTATTAAGTTGTAGCGTAATTACACTGATAGCAGCTGATGTTATTCAAAGTGGAGTGTGTCAAGGAATGACGTATATATCTCCTATTTGTTGTTGTGTAATTGCAGTGTTCACAATTAAAGACTTTGGAAATGTCTCGGGAAATGTTATGCATTGGACGATTTGTTAAATTAGTTGGTTGCATAATTACACTGGTCACATTTAAAATTTTTGACAGTACTGTGACTTTTTAAACTATCCTTGCCTCTTTACAGTGTAATTACATTCAATTTTGCAAGTGCATTTTCTTTTACAGCCCTAAAAACTACAATACAACTGTATTAATTGCAATGTGCTGCCACCAGAGGTCACTACTGTTCATCTGAATCGCGAACGAAGCCGCCATCTTGAATTTCTCAAAATGTTCCCGACACATGGGGAATCAAATGCAACACTTACGACGTATCGATGATTGTGATGACGATCGAACAATTAAATTATTATTATTAACAAAAAAACCCTTCAAAATACCTTAGCTGCCCTGAATCACAAAGTGACTAATCTGAGAAACGCCCCCTAGGGGTCACACAGCTTCTCTATTTATGTCAGCAAAATTTGAATGCAGAAGCGTTTTACTTTGGTCCACCCTGTACATATTTCAACAACCCAGTCACCACCACCAGACACTTACAATTCGGCGCGTTTCATCCGACCCGACACACGCCTCCGTAATTTCCTTATAATAAAGCTGCTGCTCGACAGACAACTCGTGCGTGGCCAACTGCTTTATCTGCACCGTTTCGACGTTGCGCAACTTCTGCTTGCCGGTGCTAGGCTTGCCCGACGACTCCTTGTTGGGTTTATTCATTTTGTTGACGGGATCGACGGACTCGAGCTGTAAAAACGTTACGATAATGACACGTTTCGGTATATTGCACGGAAACCTTTTGAATTTCCTTATCCTGAGGAGGGGGATTCTCGGGAATCGCCGGCTGTATACCGTCGATGCACAGCCAGTGCGATCTCAGCGTGATGTCGAGCGGCGCTTTGACGTTTGTGTTTGTGACGAAATCGTGCAAGTCGACCTCCTTCTCCTCGATGAAGTGTAACTCGCGACCGCCGCCCGACGCAAACCTGAACGGTAACGAGTCGACAGAGTGGAACCCATATTGAGGCTACAAATGCAATGTTAGGAACCACAAGCTCAAAGTAGGTCTTTTACCTCAATGTTTCTCGAACGAAGTGTGGCGTCAATGTCGTGATACATTAGCTTATTTCGACGAGCGTGGTGCATAAACTTGGCGGAGTCCTGAATGAAATGCTTCAAACGAAACGAGATATCATCCGCCAGCTCCTTTGCGGCATCGTCGGGCAGATTTGCTATGCCTATACTCTCGGCAATCACTTTCATAGATTCGATGGAAAATGAAGTGCCATAAAGGTCGTTCTCGGAAGCTTTTGCCATTGTATACCAGCCCTAAGAAATACTGAAACTATGTACTTATATATCTATTAGTAGCAAGTGTAATTATGTGATTATTTAAAATTATATTATTATTGTTTTGTTGTCATTTTCCATGTATTGACATTTTCAGGAGTACCAATTTCTAATTTGGTGACATAATACATTTGAACTACGTGACATAATACATTTGAACTACCTACGGTTCATTGTCACTAAAATTTAAATTTTAAAAATTCGGCGCGTTTGGAGATGATGAATATATTTTTTGTTTAATACACATTCATTCTTCAAGCTAAAATTGTGAAACCATTTTATGAATTTATAATAATAGTATATTATATACCGCGGGACTGAAGTAGTACTTTTAATCCCGAAGGTAAAAATTTACCTGAGGGATTAAGACCACTACTTCAGTCGCAAGGTACATACGATATTTTTCGTACTTCCGAAACTGAAACACTTAATATGTATGGAGTTAGAGAACGCGTTCTTTCAAAAAATCGCTGCCCAACAAGTTACCATAGGAACTGTCATTGCTAGTGTCATAATTTTGGTGGTGTATTTGATATTGATAAAAAGCAACCAAAGTAGGTAAAGAATTGATACCACCGAAATCCAAAAACTATATGAACAGCAGTACGATGCGTTTAAGAAGTAGTGCCGCATACAAAAAGTGGAACAACCTACTGAAATTGCCTTGTTAGTAATTTCATCCTTCCGGGATTTTCGTCCAAATTTAATCCCGGCGGGACAAAAAGTGACACTTCAGTCCTTGTCATAATGGAGTGAAGTTGTCACTTTAGTCTCGGAAGTACGAAAATACTTTCATCAACTGTTACCTAATAAATATACAATGCTTTTACTTGCCCAACAAAAATTTACTCCACAATGTTTTACATATTATTAGATACATATCCATTTTTGTTGTTAACTTTTTACAAGAAGCTTTTCTTACCCCACATTTTTCTTGCGCTTTCTATGGTGGGAGAGGAAATATTTTGTTGCACTTGTGACCAACCTCTTTTAAGGTACCTTTACACTATAATATATCTCACATGATTTTTTATATGATATGTTAGGTATATGATATTTAATACCAACATATTTTCTGTAAGAGCTTTAATACAAGAAGTTACGAAACCTATATAACTTCTCTAAATTAAAATGTTCCATTCCAAGATTGGGCTACTAGTTCAAAAGTTACAGCCCTTTGAATTTTCTTTCGAAATTGGTTTAGTCTATAACTTTTGATTGAGAAGTCTGATCGAAAAAGTACGAATTGTTTTGGATTCTACGCACCAAAATTAATAAGAAAAAGTGTTTTCCCGAGAAATTTTTGTGCAGTCGATTTTTGGAAAAAAGGAAGGTTATACACTGCCTTTTCTGCCCCGAAAAAAACATTGTCTCAGATCGGCCCGGAAAAAAATTTTTCTTATAGAACGTGGCCTGTAGAATCCATAATTTCAAACAGTTCCAAGATTAGGCTACTAGTTCAAAAGTTACAGCCCTTTGAATTTTCTTTCGAAATTGGTTTCTAGTCTATAACTTTTGATTGAGGAGTCTGATCGAAAAAGTACGAATTGTTTTGGATTCTACGCACCAAAATTAATAAGAAAAAGTGTTTTCCCGAGAAATTTTGGTGCAGTCGATTTTTGGAAAAAAGGAATGTTATAAGAAAAAGCCTATTTAGCTTACCACATCAGGACTAGTAAATTGTCTAATCTATGGAAGGAACTTATAAACGGTTGGATATATACTCAAAATCGCGCAATGTAGAAATTCCTTTTCATCTGAACCATAAGCGAATAATTTAAATGAAGCGTTTATTTACAAGCATAATTATTCTATAAACAATGACTTAGTACACTTTTACACAAATAACGTTATGTGTGAGTTTCGTGACACGTTACAATTTTAACAAGTTTCAAACATTGACGTCATGAATATACTTTATAATATTAAGTCAAAAGCCGTTGGCGAAGATGGCATAAGTCTTGATATGCTACTGTTATGTTGTCCGCTTATCATTACTTACATCACGTACATCATTAACGTATGTCTTAGATCTAACACGGTACCTGATATTTGGAAAGTGGCTAATGTGGTTCCTATTCCAAAAAATAACAACCCTCAAAATATAAATGACTTGAGCCCCATCAACATACTCCCCGTATTGTCGAAGGTGTTGGAAATTCTGAGATCTTTTTCCTTCACCGCGCTATCATAGGGTACCGGCCGTCAGGAATTAATGGATATGAATTGAACATCTAGTGAGGGTACTGTTCGTCACCCACTCCCAACTGATAGACGTGGAGTACAATCAATCTGGAGTTCTCTATTACAAGTTTTCACCCAAAAAATCTTCTTGGAAAACATTCCAGATTCTCTTACTAAGGAGAGGCTACTAGCCTACACCCAACCCAAAGCTAATTCATCGTGGCTTTCAGCGCTAACACAATTGTAGTTATCTGTGGCTCTAGCTTCTCCACATCTGAAACTCCAATTTGGATGAGAAGACAATTTAATTATAATAGGAGACTCGGAATGCGGTAGTGGGAGAAGAGAAAGGGCATTGTGGTTGGGCCTTTTGGATTTGGTGAAAGGAATGAAAGAGATTTTGCACGCAGCACCAATTAATAGTATATGCAACACAATCAGGTCATCACTGAAAATGTGAAAGCTGAAGATCAGAAACCACCTTAATTCCGGTCACCGACAACAATCAATCCCAAGCAAAAGTTGACAGCTGCAAGGTGTAATAATTGAATCCTAGAATTAAAAAAATTAATCCTCCTATTAATCATATTTCTTTAAATGGAAAACAATTCAATTTTATCATTAACAATTGAGCATCTCGCTTTGGACACTGTGCCAATCAGGAAAATGTGCACTATTTTATTTTATTTACAATGTTGTACATTCATTAATTATAATAAATTACTTAAACTTAGAAGACTTTATGGCAGAAACTTGACTTTGGAATAATTTTACAAATTACTATTTCGGTGACAAAATCCCACATCCGCGATTGCTTGGAATGTAGCAAAAATATAATTTTAACGTAAATTAATCAGTCATTTTATGGCTATTGTATTATAAATTAATATGGCAATTGTGATTATGTAATTATTTACATTTCTATGTACAAAAAAAAATGGCAGTGCTGTTCATAATACTTTTTTAAGTTTATGAGGTCATCGGACAAGAGTCTAGCAAAACGTTTGTAACTTGTTCCATGTTTAACCAGTCGACTGTTTTCTTTCCTATCTTCATGTTTCGTATGCAACCCTTGAAGTTCTCCTTCATCTTTAGCGTTCCAACAGGTGCGTAATCTGTAAGTTGTTAACAGGTAATTGAAAATAAATGTACCTCTGGAATTTTACCAGGTATTCCACCTATGTAAAGTGGCGCTTCCAGTTCGTCCATCAGCGTTTCATCATCGGGTTGCACCCAACTCTTTCGTATTCCGTCAACGTTGATAGTTATCTCCGAACTCGTGTAGACGGCGGTGATATTATGCCATTGATTATTGCACAGTGCGAAATCGGACAGGTTATTTGTCACGTTCGTGATGGTGCCGTAACCATTGTCCGTCGTCATTACAATTGCCCCGCTCTGTAACTCGATCGAGAGCGCCGGACTGTTGCGCGGATTCGACACGCTTATGATAATTCCGTTTTGTTCGGCCGTCCGGAACTCTAAACTGAGTTCCAAAACCGCATTGATGTGGAAGTATTTGTCTGGAAGAGAAAGTGAGAAATCCTATGGAATAGGTAGACACTTACTGTATATCGCAAAGGCGTCCCCGCCGAAGTAAGAGCCTTGCTCTATGTTGGGAAAACATTGACCTATGTTGTGATGGACGGTGCTTTTGTCTTTGATTAAACCGTGAGGAATTTTGTTTATCGTAAGGCCTCTTATACATCCTCGGAATGGGTGATAGTTCGATTTCTGTAAAATAAAGATTCATTCATGCTTCATGTGCGTTTTCGAGGCATCCTCGAACCAATTACTTTAAAAAAATAGTATAAATGTAGCACCCTTAAGCTTCTAGTGAGGTGACACATTTAGTGCAGAAGCTTAAGAAACTGGTTGTAATGAAGCACCTATTTTCCGTTGAAGTTTCATACCCGAAGTTATGACCACACCGTACATTTGTGGGGTCGACCAGCTATGCTGAACACCTAGTATCTAGAAGCGTTTTAAATTGGGCGCTTCGTTACGAAGTGTCGTAGCGGAAGTATTTCTAGGGATACCGATATCGTAAATAACGCTGCAATAATTATTTCGCAGTTTGCAACCGTTTCCGTCAAGATATTTCAATTGTTTTTGTTGCGTCCGAAAGCTCTAGTCATTTAGTAGAGGGCAAATTAATATTTTAGAATTTCAGCTACGTTATGGTAAATTTAGAAATTTCCATTCGGCCAATTAAGTAAGTGAAATTGACAGTAGTGTTGCAGTAAAAGTCATATCGAGTATCAAAAGAAGCGCTCTTAATAGATTCGAGTTTTGGGACCAATTGCAGATTTTTAGGACGTCAGCAGGCAGCACAATTAATTAAAGCTATAGCTTTTGCTTCTTCTTGCACATTAATTTCTACCGCTCCATTTAATTGCAAGGTAAGCGTTTTGTTACTTTCCGTTTCACTAATTATATGGAAGGAAGAAGGGAGGGGGGGTACTACCTCGCTTTCATGCATTTGCTTTCCCGTAGATACCGCTATTGAATCCGATTATTGACTGTTCCTATGCGCTTTTATTTTGTTTTAGCATTCACCCGTAGCCGACCCACACTTGCCCTTTAGAAGTCCAGGAGCTGCTGTTTACTCCCCTCGAGGCTTTCTAGACCGAAAAGCCAAACGCTGCTACCGCCGACCTTGACCAGGAGTAAGGCCGTACGCTTGTTCCGCCGACACAACACCAAGGATGCTTTTTTGACTGTGGAAATGAATCGTTGTTTCCTCAAAGTCAAAAACCGCTATTGGCTGCACATTGTCGTCCGTCCGTCTGTTCGTACACCTTCTACACGACTGAACCGATTTGAGCCATATGGGGCTGATTTGAAAGGACTTGTTAAAAGGATTCTGTGCATACCGATATTTTTTGGTTTTGCGCATGCGCAGTGTCAAAAATTTGGTTTAACGCATGTGCAATTTTAACATTTTTATTTATGAATATATTTAAATGAAACTTTATATGTAAACACTACGAATATATGCTCTCGTCATTTATGTTTGCATAATGACTTTTTAACTTGTTTTTTTCTTGGTGGATGTTGAAACGTAGCGGCTTATTGTCTTGTGTATATTTGTCACTTTTTCCGGTATTGAAGCTTTTTGAAAAGACAGTCAGTCTTGTTTAATTGTAAAGTTTTGTGGAGGAAAGTTAAAGAGTGTTAAAAGTCGTTTTGATAAAAGTGAATGTTCATGTTGGATTAAAGAAAGGGGAGGTATACGAAAGAGTTAATCGGAGTGTTGTTTATTCCTTATGTGGTGTCAGTGTCAGTTGGATTTCTTGTTGTGAAATGACACCGCAAATCAGAAAATTGACAATGGAACGCCTTGGGTAATACAATTAGACCTCTTGTATTACCAGGTGAGTTGAGTTACTTGTTGAAAATTAATTTCGAAAAATGATTGACGCAACTTGATTCAGGAACTGTGCTTCCAGGCTTCCTTTGATTAGTTGAACCTTGAGTTATTCACGGTAGGTAATAAATTACTCATGTTCTGCAGTATGTAATAAATGTTAAAAATGTACCTTTGTAACAATTGATTTAACAGCAAACAAAAGCTTGAATTAATTGTCTTTAACCTTTTTACCGGTAGGTAGCCATAGTGTTCATAATGTTGTTCGCACTTCCTATAAACAACTTAGGTGCACGAACTTGATTGATGAACTAGTTTCTTAATCGTAACGAGCCACTATAAAGTGCAGTTTACATTATGTGATTTTGCTTACGGTTTCCCGTATGATTTTCCGTACGATTATTCATTCGTTAGGGTTTGTTTTGGTGGTTTTCTGTTTACGTTATACGATTTGCTACCAACAATTACGAATAAGTATGATGGGACCCGAAAACATGGCAACTCGCAAGAGAAATCGTAAGCAACATCATATAACGTAAATTGAACTTGAATATTCTGTAATTTGGACCCATTTACCCATTACTCATT